TTCGAACACATCACACCTGCCAGTGTGTGGCCTCAGCAAGTTACAAAATGTCAATGGGCCTCAGTTTCCCCATCTGTAAAATGGGGACAATAACAGTATCTCATTGAGAGTTGTGAAGATTAAATGACTTAATATTTAATTAATTTAATTCAGAACATGTGATGTGTAGTTAGTGCTAGTTAAGGGTCAAAATTACAATTATTCTCCCTCTTCACTGAATGGATGACCAAAAAGTTTCACTAGATTTGCCTGAGGTTTTATAGCTGTTTAACTTGCTTCAACCCAGGCCTGTGTATCCAGTGCCAATGCCAAGGCCACTGCAAGCCCTGTGCTGTCCCCACGATCAGCCCTTCCCTGCCCCCTGGGCTCCTGACTCCCAGCTCAGTGCTCTGCCTTGGCTGTGGCTACAGAGCAGGCCCATCCTTACCGCGGTGCTGCGCTCCTTCCCTGCCGTCAGGGCCCAGGTCTGCGGGTTTCGACCCTTCTCGTCATGGAGTCGAAGATCACCCCCTGCATCCAGCAGTTTGCTGAGGATCCACTGATTGCCTGAAAATGCTGCTGCGTGAACAGGAGTGCTTCCATCGAAGCAGCGGCTGGAGGGGGAGGTGTTAGTATCAGTGTCCATAACACTCCTGCCTTCCACAGAGTGGGGTGGGGGGGCAGTCAATGGGTGACACAAGGCTCCCTTTCTACAAAGGCAACCTTTGGAAGGAGGATTATAATACCATTTGTGAGGCTGTGCCAATAGAAGCTTTATACACATCCCCTTTTTCCATCCTTACCTCTACCCTTCAAGGTGGTATCATGTTCCAATTAATAGATGAGGAAACAAAAGGGCAAAGCTGAGATTCATACTCAGGTATGGGTCTGGTTCTAAATCTGGTGTTCCCTTCCCCATTGCCTTTTGATACTGGCTGCTCTGAAACAATTTCTTCATGACTATAGTGTCCTGGGGTCGGGGTGGTGAAGCACAGCCCAACCAGAGACCATCCCTCTCTATCTCCCAAGTCCTACAGTAGAGGCCCGCAAAACCCTAGCACCAGCAATCCCATTAAGAATCCACAACTCTGGGGACACCTGGGTGGCTCAGTCGGTTAAGCGTCTGCCTTCGGCTCAGGTCATGGTCCCAGGGTCCTGGGATCAAGCCCCGCATCGGGCTCCCTGCTCAGCGGGAAGCCTGCTTCTCCCTCTGCCTGCCACTTCCCCTGCTTGTATTCCTGCTCTTGCTATCTCTGTCAAATAAATAAATAAAATCTTTAAAGAAACAAATCTTTAGGGACGCCTGCCCTTGGCTCAGGTCATGGTCCCAGGGTCCTGGGATAGAGCCACTGTTAGTATCAGTGTCCATAACATAACCTCCCGCTCAGCGGGAGGCCTGCTTCTCCTTCTCCTACTCCCCCTGCTTGTATTCCCCCTCTTACTGTGTCTCTCTCTGTCAAATGAATAAAATCTTAAAAAAAAAGAAACAAAAATCTTTAAATAAATAAATAAATAAAATCTTTCAAAAAAGTCTCCTAGTCCAGACCCCTAGTTCTCTTGCTCAAAGGCAACTACTGTTACATGTTTTTGTACGCTTTCAGAAATGTTCTCTGCATATACAGGGAGGAATAAGAATATGCTATGTAAACTGTTCTGCATTTAAGTCTTTTCACTTAACTGTATCTTGGAGAAATTTCCATATGACAATATACAAGTCACCTCCATTGTTTTTAACAGCTGCATAGTATTCTAATGTATGTACCCTAATTTAGTGAACGGGCCACTGAGTGTCAGAGTATACACCAGACTAAATCAGAACCTGCAAGCATGAGGCCCAGGAATGTGTGCTTTTTACAAGTTCCCCAGGTGATGCCAACAAGGCTGGCCTGCACCCACTTGATAGCTCATTATGAGCTCTCTCCTACTGGTAGTTCAGTCTCCTATTGCACACTGCACTGTAAGAACCATAAAATCCTCCTAGAGGTTGAAACTAGAGGCCTGCAGAGTGATTTGGCAACTCAGAGGCATGTTTTATTAGGTTGACATAGTGTTTAAATAAGGAATTTAAAATAATGGACAAGGGATACATGGGTGGCTCAGTAGGTTAAACATTTAACTCTTGCTCTCAGGGTTGTGAGTTCAAGCCCTGTGCTAGGCTCCATGCTGGGTGTAGCACCTACTTAAAAATCTTTAATTAATAAAATAAAATAATGGACAATATTTAATATTTGGGAGATTTCACATTAAAAATTGGGATTTTCAGGGGCACCTGGGTGGCTCAGTCAGTTAAGCCTCTGCCTTCGGCTCAGGTCATGATCTCAGGGTCCTGTGATAAAGCCCCACATTGGGCTCCCTGCTCAATGGGCAGCCTGCTTCTCCCTCTCCCTCTCCCCCCAGCTCATGCTCTCTCTCTTGCTCTCAAATAAATATATAAAATCTTGGGGCACCTGGGTGGCTCAGTCGTTAAGCACCTGCCTTCAGCTCGGGTCATGATCCCAGGGTCCTGGGATCGAGCCCCACATCAGGCTCCCCGCTCGGCAGGAAGCCTGCTTCTCCCTCTCCCACTTCCCCTGCTTGTGCTCCTGTTCTTGCTCTCTCTCTCTCTGTCAAATAAATAAATAATAAAAAATAAGTAAATATATATATGTATATATATAAAATCTTAAAAAAAAAAATTGGGATTTTCAGCCTCTTGGAAATTTAGAAGATCTGGCCTTCCTGGCTCCCTTTCCTACCCAGGAGCAACAAATACCTAACCCTTCTTAGAGAGAGCCTGTGCCCATAAACTCCACTTGGTCCCACAGGTATTTGACTTTGTGAGTTCAATAGGTCTGTGCCATCACAGCATTTCCTTTGAGCACTTAGTAATACAACCTCCCCCCAGAAATTTCCCTTCACTTTGATCAACAGATATTTTTTAAGTCACATGAAAACAGTCCTATCACAAAATACAAAGCCAAGGGGTTTGCCTTCCCCCCCTTTGACAATGTCCTTTCCTACCTCCCCCTGGCATCATGGGGACTTCTAAAAAAGGAAAGTCAAACTAAGTTCTTAATGCCTGGGCTCCTGGTCTCAGCTCTAATCATTAACACACCATTATAGGCCAGTCACTTAAATTTTCTGGGCCTTAGCTCCCTAACCTGGAATATTAAATGTTTGAATGATTTATTCTTTAAAGAATCCAACTCTAAGCCTCCACAAAACAGACATAATTAAAGATGACTGGAAAATGCTGCATTTTTGCTACGAACGCCAGGGGTTCCCAGTGTGGCCTCCTACTGCACTGTTACCTGCAAACAGATGAGCCAGCCCTTTCTTTCTGAGCTTTGAAATTAAACATTAACACAGGACAGGAGAGTATATGTGAGTCTAGAAGGAAACAGCAAAATGTTCACTGTATTAATTTATATCTGGGTTATAGAATTCTAATGTCAATTGGTGTTTTTTCTTTATACTTTTGGAAACTTCCAAGTTTTCTCCCACTAAGCAAGCAACCCTATAAAAAACAAAAAACAAAACAAAGCCCCCCAAATCTTCTGATATCAATACTTTTTAAAGTACATTAAGCAGGGCCTCCTCATGTAAGATGGGAATGCTACTTTATGATGTTTATGATTATATTCTGGAATTCCTGTGGAAATCAGCTAGAATCATGGTAAGTGTTCAAAACCTGTTCCTGGTTCTGTCCTATAGGAACTGTAAAAGTACCTGCTGTCCCCTCCCTCTCAAGGAGGTGGTTGTGAAGATCAAGTGAGCTGGTGCCTGGAAAAGCCCTCGGAAAAGCAAACTACACCGTTCCACATTAAAAGTTGGGCCAACTGTTAAACTCATATTCTTTTGGACCACAATTACAAGAGCAAGGCAAGTGATCCTGAGAAAGTGATGTCAAGTATATTATTGGTTGGTGGGTATGTTAAACTGCTTAAGTGAATCATACAAATTATAACCTGGGGTGGAAATATGCAAACAGTACTATTTAATAAATAGCAATTAAGTTCCCCTTATTTTACTGGACCTAGTAAAACTGCCCAGAAAACTTCATTAGCAGTTAAAACTATGTTTCAACATAGCTGTGCAACTGTATTTCATTAATATAAATTAGTAAAGGTTTGTACACCTTAAACTTAATGTTAAATGTCAGTTTTAACCCAATAAAACTAGAAAAGAAACCCTTAAAAAATTAGTAAAGGTTCTTTTAATATCTTCTCAAATTGTTTTCCAAATGCCCCAACTCATTTTTAAAGAATACTATTTTCTAAAGAGCCATCTCATTATACTTACTGATTTGGATCTGATCCATAATCCACCAGAACATCAACTAATTTCGTAAAGCCTAATAATGCTGCAACAAAAAGTGCAGTCTGGCCCAAGGAGTTAACTGCATCAACACAAATTCCTGCAAAATAAACGCAAAAATGAATACAAATATCAGAAAACTTCCTAATATAAAATTAGAAAAGCTCATGCTAGAAAACAAACATTCCTCTACACAGTACTATCACATATTAGTAATATAAATTTTTCTCCAAAACACAAACCCTTTCATAACACCACAAACATCAAAAACTAAGAATAAATTAAAACACAACCACGTTTATTCATCAAAAGTACTATACATAAAACTTCTAAAAGAAACATTAGTGGTTTGGTTTACTCGGGTAAGAACACTCTTCGCAGAATCTTTGTCTCAGCCCCACGTCAAAACACGTGCGGCTTCTATGACCATACTCTCCGAAATACAAACACTGTACACTAAAAAAATGGAAAAACTATTTAACAAGTACAACATAAGCCCTTCATTCGTAACGTTAACACTAAGAACCAAAGATCCCAAATACAACGCTACTACTACCCCACCCAGAAAAATCAAAAACTAAAAATCATCAGGGCGACCACCACCACTCTGATTACTTGATTACAAAAAGAGCACCAAATAACCTTCCAAAACTAACCACAACGCCCGCACAGAACAACCCCAAAAAACACACAACAACTACTTTAAACGACCATAAAAAAACAAAACCACTCAGACTGCGTTCTCTTCCTCTAACTCCCCCAAGGAGGAGTAGAACGATCATCAATGGAAATCGGCAGTTACAAAAGCAACACCGAAAACCGACTTCACGCTCAGAAGAGAACACTGCGAATCCTCCTCGTGGTTTCGGGTACTCTACACGTTCAGAGAAACTTCTCTAGTAACGAACTATAGAAATGATCCCTGAAAGTATAGTCTTAACAGCACATCCCCTAACTTTCCAAAGTGGAAGAAACCCACATACATTTTAGCCATGGTGACTTTATTTAACGTCACTATTCTTTCCAAATGTACAATAGTATGTATTTCCCAAAGAACTGTTCCATTACCAAAGTTCGACAAAGCGTTTTTGAACAGAAAGCGTTTCAGAAGACATTTCAAGTTATCATTTTAATTAACATACGGCTGATAAACAGCCAATCGCACGGCATTTTTCCCACTGACCCCTCCCACCCCATTGCCCGGCAATTCCGCCTCGTCAGTTTTACGTAACCGCTGACGACTACACAGCGCGCCGGAACTCCAGGACGCGCCTCAGTTTAGACCGACGGTAGAAGCGAGGAATCCTTTCTCCACCCCGCCCCCTCGAGAAAAACGGAAGTGGATGATGAAACCGATGACTTAAAGCCAAAGAGTTTTGCAAAACACTCCCGGTTTTTTAAACTTAATCCCGTGATCTAAATACCAGTCAAATAAATGTTCTTTGTTTTTTTTAACAAATCAATTTTTATTTACATAAAAGGTGTTTAAACAAAACAAAATACATAATTCTGCTTAAAGTTTCAGGAGCTCTCCGCTCTTGGGCTAAAGACAAAACTTGACATAGCTTATCAGGCCGTCCATGGTCTGGCCCACACACCAACTCTCCAGCCTTATTTTGCATCAAGTTCCCCACTCACTTCAGCCCTATTGAACTTCAGCTCTTTTGCTCGCCATATTCCCTTCTGCCACAGAGCCTTTGCAAAAGCTGTTCCCTCAGACAGGAATTCTCTCCCAATCCCTTTCCCAACTTAACTGCAGTTCATCATTACGACATCTGTCCAAGTGTCATTGTCTCAGGGCCTGACCTCCTTAACCAGATTCAACATCTTCAATGAGTGATTATTTGATTAATGCCGCTCTTTGCATGAGACTATGTCTGGGAAGGGCAGAGACTATGAAATGACCTTGTATACCCACAATATCCCAAACACCTGGTACTAAAAGAATGAATCCAAGCAAAGGTGTCCAGTGCAGAGAACCGGGTAAGATAGGGGTCCTTAACATTATAATATGTCATCTTAAAGCCATAGCGGTTAGTGAGTCACAAAACATTCTACCTAAATAGACAGTTGAGGATGGAGCCCTGAGGCCCACTAACATTTTAAGGGGCAAGCTGAAAGGACAAAGCCAAAAAGTAGGAAGAGAAGGAAACCAAAAGAGGTAAGAGAAAAACCTGGAACAAATGGGTCACAGTGACAAGGGATAAGAGTTTCAAAAAGGAGCATCAGTCAACAGCATCAGACTGGAGAAATCTAGTAAGAAGGATCACTGTTCTTGATGAGAGCAGTGCTAGTGGGGTTCACATTTCTTATTGCTCAGGTCTCCCTATGTTACAAGTATTTGTGGCATGTCTTCTTCCCTACCAGACTATCTCCCGTAACCTTCAGGGCAGAAACTGCCAATTTATCTCTCTTCAGTGCCAGGTAAACTTACTTGACCTAGCAAGCCTAAGTGTAGAGAGGAGCAGCAAAAACAACGTGGGAAAACAATTCTCCATGGATGGCTCCTGTGTCTCCGTGTCAGGAAAGTAAGGCACTAATTGCCCTGTGTTCTGGACTATCTTTTTGAAGATGTGTGTATATCAAACTTTGGAAGATAAAGTATCTTCCTTTAGAGCAAAGGACAGGCATGCTCACTGTCCAGTATAATAAAGATAACAGCTCCTTCTAGAGCAAAGGTTATACTGTCCATTATAGAAGATAAGTTCAGGGTGCTTCTACCGTAATGCAACCCACCACGTGTGCAATGTTATATAGCTCTTTGCATGGCTCTGTGGGAATTAGGGCTTGAGGAACCAGCACCAAAAAAGCTAAAAGTCTAACTACTGCTGTGGTTTGAGTAATAAACTATCACTCAATTCTGTGACCCAGGAATCGCCTGTCTTCTGCCTGCTTCCATATACCTGAAGCAGCCTAATATATAAAATCACCGATTATTCATAATTCTGGTTAGGAAGGAACTACAGTTTAGGGTAGCAGACTGGTTAATCCCTGGAGTTCATGAACTAAAAAATTATTTTTAAAAATTTTTTTAAAGATTTATTTATTCATGAGAGACAGAGAGAGAGAGAGAGAAGCAGGCTCCCAAGGAGCAGGGAGCCCGATGCGGGACCCGATCCCAGGACTCTGGGATCATGACCTGAGCCGAAGGCAGACGCTTAACCATCTGAGCCACCCAGGCGCCCTCATGAACTAAAAAATTAACTCAGCCAGGGCCTCCAAAGGCTTAGGGAAGCACTTAGGGAGGCAATGACCAACAATTCTTGAGAAGATACAGATGGCTACACAGAAAAATAGGCTGAAAGCCACTGTCCCCACAATTTACATAACAGCCTTTTGGGGATTTCCTAGTAGAAAACATTTACTCATTAATTCACTCATTCAACAAATATTTCAGGCCAGCCCACTGTAGCCATGTTGTGACTGATAAAAAGGTGACCAAAATAAGTCCCCGAGAAGTGACCAAAGGCAGCTTTGACATGGTACAAAAACTGACTAAAAAGGTCAAAAGACCCGGGTTCAAGTGTTGAAGTCCTAATGACAACCCTTTTTAGCCTGGAGCCTCCAGATGGGTCAGTCACCTAATCTCTGGGCCTCCTAGGAAGCAAGACCTGATACTAATAACGATGTGTACCAGGGACCATTCTAACGCAATCCTCAGAACAGTACTGTACAACAGGAGGAAGGTACTAATATCACTGTTTTGTGGATGGAAAAACCGAGGTTTAGAGGGGGTGGGTAATTTTCCAGAGATCACACAACAATCTGGCTCCAAAGTCCCTGCACTACAACATATTGTCATCCTCTCAACCTAATTTCTCAGGCTTGCTGCTCAGAGTTGCCGAAGGCTTTAGTCACTAAACAATGCTGTCCACAGCATTAAACACAAAGCGAAGATAAAGTATTAATTTCTTTTTATTTTATTTTATTTATTTAAATTTTTTTTCCTAAAGAAAGGCAGACTGCCATGTGCAGCGCCTCATTTGGATGTGTCTGGAGTCTTGGAAGCTTGACTACCCTACGTTCTCCTACAAATGGACCTTGAGAGCTTGTTTGGAGGTTCTAGCAGGGAGCACAGCTACTCGTATACCCTTGACCAAAGAACGGTCCTCCTCTATCCGGGAAGGTCGTCCTCTTTGACCAAGCGCGCAGCTTCGGGAGGGACGCAAATGGAGCAGTGAAGGAGGAAGGGAACACCCCTAGCCAGCCAGGTCAGGGGAATCAATGCTGGCCATCAGTGAGGTGACAGATGTTGCAGCCAGATTGCCCTCACATCCTAAAGTATTAATTTCTGAGAGCAGGAAACCTAGATAGCTTTGGGAGAAAGTGGGATGATGGGGTGTAAAGGGAATGAGAGGGTAAATAACATGTGTATTGGAAGGATGGGTATTTCACCCCTACTCTGCAATATTCAATAAACCAACATAAAATGGTGCCTGAGTTGAAATAATGGGGGAAAAAGGATAAACTTGAAGCTTGAAAAAAAATAAAAAATGAGAAAACATTCAGAACTGGAGAAAAGGTGGGAAAACAAATACTTTCCTAAGTGCAGTTAGGAATGTGAAGTGTTACAATGCTTTTGGAAAGCAATGTGGCAATATCTATGAAAAGCTGGACCCAGAAATCCCACTTTGAATATTAAAAATCCATTATGTAGGGGCGCCTGGGTGGCTCAGTCAGTTAAGCATCTGCCTTCGGCTCAGGTCATGATCCCAGGGTCCTGGGATCGAGTCCCACATCAGGCTCCTTGCTCAGTGGGGAGTCTGCTTCTCCCTCTGCCTGCCTCTACCCCTGTTTATGCATGTGTGCTCTCTCTCGCTCTCCTCTCACAAATAAATAAAAACTTAAAAAAAATAAAGATTTTATTTTTAAGTAATCTCTGCATCCAACATGGGGTTTAAACTCACAACCCCAAGATTAGGAGTCTCATGCTTTACTGACTAAGCCAGCCCGCCACCCACCCCTGTTGGGAGTTTTTTGGATTAGTGATTCAATCTCTTTGCTGGTTATAGTCTGTTCAAATTTTCTATTTCTTCCTGTTTCAGTTTGGTAGTTTATATGTTTCTAGGAGTTTATCCTTTCTTCGACGTTGTCCAATTTGTTGGCATATAGTTTTTCATAATGTTCTCTTATAATTGTATTTTTTTTAGCAATTTTTTCTTTTTTTAAATTTATTCATGAGAGTCAGAGAGAGAGAGAGAGAGAGAGAGAGAGGCAGAGGCAGAGGGAGAAGCAGGCTCCCTGCCCAGCAGGGAGCCCGATGCGGGACTCAATTCTAGGACCCCGGGATCACGACCTGAGCCAAAGGCAGATGCTTAACCATCTGAGCCACCCAGGCGCCCAATTGTTTGTATTTTCGTGGTGTTGTTATTTCTTCCCTCTCATTTATGATGTTATTTGTTTGAGTCCCTTCTCTTTTTTCTTGTAAAGTCTGGCAAAAGGTGTAACCATTTTATTGATTTTTTTCTTTTTTTCTCAAAAAATCAGCTCCTGGGGCACCTGGGTGGCTCAGTTGTTAAGCATTTGCCTTCCGCTTGGGTCATGGTCCCAGGGTCCTGGGATCGAGCCCCGCATCGGGCTCCCTGCTCCACAGGAGGCCTGCTTCTCCCTCTCCCACTCCCCCTGCTTGTGTTCCCTCTCTTGCTGTGTCTCTCTCAAATAAATAAATAAAATCTTTAAAAAACAAAACAAACAAACAAACAAAAAACAGCTTCTGGGGATGCCTCGGTGGCTCAGTCGGTTGGGCGTCTGCCTTCGGTTCAGGTCATGATCCCAGGGTCCTGGGATCGAGCCCCGCATCAGGCTCTCTGCTCAGCTGGGAGCCTGCTTCTTCCTCTGCCTGCTTGTGCTCTCTCGCTCTGACAAATAAAATCATTTAAAAAAAAACAACAAAAAAACCCAGCTCCTGGTTTCATTGATCTACTGTTTTTTTGATTTC